CGCCGCATCCCACACTTCACCGGCGTCGAGCCGGGTTTTATCCGAACCTTCAATGGTTCGACCTTGACTGGCGGATCGTCGCCCAAGTCTCCACGGAACACATCAATGTGTTTGGCCAATAAGTCGTGTAGCCACGACGCTTCAGAGGGCGCAAGCCCTCGCGTCTCCGCCTCGGCTGTCTTGGCCGCCAGAATGGCTTGAACGGCAACGCTCCACTTCGTCCTCAACGGAGGTTTTGGGATAAACCTCCGGAGTATCACACTCCATCCCGTCGTTGGAGTCAAGCTCCGGCGGATTCAGCATCTCCGCCATCAGGCGCTTGACATTCGCCATTCCGGACAATTCATTCGTCGGCACGGACGAAACGTCCAATTCTTCCTTCTTCTTCTTTGCTCCAACAAGGAGGTCTTCAACGCTGAAGCCCAGTAAATCCATGACTGGGCGACTCACGATGAGTTCGGTTGCAGTCGACGCGTCGTCGACCCAGGCCTTCAGCCTGCGCAACACAAGTGGTCCATACGTTGTGTCCAGCGTCACGCAGTTAAACTTGACGCTGCGTGTCATCACAACTGGCTTGGCGTCACTGCCATACGGGTACGCCAAATGCGGCACGCTATGGGAGACAGTCCCAACTTTGACACCGGCCGCGTCCAACGCATTCATGACGCCGCGCGTGACAACGGTCACGTCCGAACCAGAGTCCAATAGCACATCGACCACGCGGACGATATACTCCAAGAGCACCCCGCGCTCTGTCTTCTGGCGCTGCGGCTGGTTGACCAGCACCTTGATGCCATCCTTCCAGCGCTTGACTTGCGCTGCCAACGACGTTTCGGCTTCGCCAGGCGCGGTCTTCGGGCATCGCGCCACACGATGAGTCATGTCACCGCACTTCAAGCAGCCCTTCCTGGCAGAGGGCTCGGCATTCTTGGGCACGATCGTTTCGGCCTTTCCGCCGACTCTGCCATTGTTCTTGGCGGCGTCTTCCCGGCCGCTGTCGCGTCTTGGCACATGAGGCTTGCCGCCTCGTGGAGCTTCTACCGGCTTCGCTGCCGGGGAAAGTTTGGACTCGTCGTCGAGTCCCACATACAGCTGGTGGCCAGCTGCAAATGTCCGCAGCCAGTTCACGTAACGAAAGACGTCGCTCTTCAACGCCTTGTTCCGCTGCAACTGCAGCTGCTTTTGAACCGCCGTCTTCAGCGACTCCGGCTTGATTGATTTCATCATGACTTCGACGACCATCTTGCCTTCTTGATGGAGTACCCACTCCTGATGGTCTTGTTCCAACGAGCGCATCAGCTCGTCAAGCATACGACCGACGAGGGACTCCGCGTCCAAGATCTTCGTATCGAAGCGAATCGCTCGTTGCAGATGTTGCTTCAAAACATCCAGGTCTTGAGGGGCTTCCACAAATGCTGACTTGAACCACGCGACCAACTCATCGTTCGTGATGGAATGGTGGTCGCGGTTGAACCACGCGATCCATTGCACTACAGAGCGTTGATCTGCCCCAGATACTTCTTGCGCATAAAAGCGCGTATTTAGGCCTTGGTCGAGCCCGAAAATGTCGGCGGCTGTGGGAGCGCCGGCGCGTTCCAAACTTGCGCCGCCGAAAGGCCGTAATCGTCATCGCTGCCCATGTCCGTATCGTCACGGACGTCCGACGGGTCGTTGTCAGCTGGCAACGGCACTGAATCGCCATCTGCTTCAGTTGTTGGTGGAGCGGCAGCTGAGACAAACGTTACGACAGCTGGTGTTCCTCGGGATGTGGCAGGGGTGTAAAACCCACCATGTGGCGGGGGACACTCGTCGACAGCAGGCGGCTGTCATCGTCGGGGAGATCTGAACGGGTTCTCAACGGTGCGCCGAGCGGCGCGTCCTCGGGGCTCCTCGATCCGGTCACGCGACCGTGATCGCTCTTCGGCATTCGTTGGCGTTTCCTCGTCGGAGGAATGTTGTCGTACCATCTCCAGTGAATAGCTCCAGGCGCGGCGGACGCGAAGTGTAGCCACCGCGCCAGCGCAAACAAGTATGTGATCGAGTACCTGCGTTGGAGCGTGGTCATCGGGTCCGACTCGGTTGGCCCGGGCTCGGACACGCACAATATGCCGATGGAGGACACGACAATGTCGAAAGCGTGCACGACCACGGGGAAGAACACAAACAACATGGGGTACTCGATCGCGCCTTCCTTGGCGAGGGAAATGGTGCCGATGATATTGGCCGCGACGCTCTCAAACAAACACGTCGGCGCTGCTCCCGACGCAGTCGGCCACCATGTCCTCAACCAAGTGCCAATAACCGACGGGTTGTGCGGGTCGTCTTAGGGGATGCCCTACTCGAACTTGCCGACGATATCGGCGACGACATCGGCGGTCTTGGTGTAGATGCCCCGCCCAATTGCATGAACAGCGCTACGACTGACGAGCCAAACCCGTCCATGAGCAAGGGGATTTCCGTGGCACTCATGACGGGCGTGCTGCTGCATGCCGCAGCAGCATGTGTAGAATGCTCACGAACAACGTGATGTCGAGGACAGCGGAAAACGCACCGCCGCGGAAGCAGATATGTAGCGCCTCGCTGTACGAATGACGCCCGGCGCTGGGCATAAGTCTCTCATTTATCCGAACATTATCCGTATAAAGCCTGGTGAAAAGTCCCAACCGGTAAAGATGCTCTAATTAGCGCGGAGGCGCACAGCGTCGATGCAAGACAATACGCATATAGAGAGGTTATGTATGTATACGCGTACGTGTTTATGATTCCACTTATGGGCCTGGGCTCTCCCGTTCACGTGGCATCACGACTTTGATTGATGCTGTTCATATCGGGCAATACGTAGAAACAAACTTGCGACAATCGTCCTGCGAACCGCTACACTACATTGACGGTTACTGTTAACGCCTTGGTGAAGAAGTGATCGCGGTGGCCTAAGTAAGCGATAAGTAGATGTTCATCTGTGTTGGAATCCCTGCGGGTGGGGAAAATGCGTCTTATTGGTGGAACCAGCATAAGACTCTTTTATCCGAACATTATCCGTAAAAAGCCATGTTACATATACACGCGTCGATGCGTATGCGGCCTATGGCGTCTGCGCTTACTCGATGCACCATCGTCGCCTTGGTGAATCGACAGCCATCGAATCAATGAAGCGCATTACAAGGGCTATCGTCTCAGAGTTACTACCCTTGATTCGATCCTCAGACACTGCTACCCATGTCTTGGAGAGTAACTCGGTCTCCATGGCGTTCATCGATAACGACATCGTCCAGCAATCGAAAAGTATTTCGTGTAGACTAGTTTGTATACCATACAAATTTCTTGTTATTAGATTAATTCGGCGCAAAACCTCGACTCGGAGTTTTTAGTGAAAACTCTGTGTGGAATGGTCAAGATTCAAGGCCCGGGGTTCTGAAACTCAGTTTCAGTGTCGAACTCAGTGTTGGGGTGGGGGTAAATTCAGGGTCAAAATATCATCGACACTGAGTAATATTCAGTTTCAGGGTCAAATTCCGTGTACGGTGGAGATGCTCTAAGACCCAACCGGTGGAGATGCTCTTGGACTTTGATATGTGTATGTACTTTGTATCCTTCTTAACGATTATGTGATGATTTAACAATGTTTGAAACATTCCTACAAAATTTCATCGTTGGTGGCTGACCAGTAAACTGTAAACTCGAAACCTAATTATCGCGTTAACAGTAAATCCAGTATTTCCCTCATATCCATGATTATGGAGGAACACCTTCGGTGTTGCTTCGAGGGAATAGCTCTTCGCTCATCAAAATCTGAATCGTCCAGATGCCCCACGAACGGGAAGGCCTGATGAGTGTCGGCAGAAGGAAGGGGCCGCATTGTGTGCTTGTCCATGTGTGTCGACTGAATACTGCAAACGATCAGCACTGAAGTGCTACATCGAATGCAATCTGTTCAGGTCATGGGGCGAGTAGCTTCGTTGGGGTCAACAGCAGTGGACTATTCCGCATAACCGCATAAACAAGTAGGGGATTCGTAAGTAGTTACTATGACAGCGGTTAAACTTCTTCATGAATGATGTGGTCGAATGTCTGCGGGAGTTCGATGCGGGTGGGCTGCACCCAAATCACAACGTCGTCGTCGCCCGTGTCGATGTCATCTACGTCGTGCGGATTTATACACAGCTCCTTGACGCCAAAGGTACGCGGTGGCTTGTTGCTTTGTTCGGTTGTGGCCGCAGGAGGAGTGATCGGACAGTCGCGCTGCTTCTTTTCGAGCTTGCGCTGGCTCGAGTTGGCTTTGAGCCGATGGTAGTCGCAGAGGCTGTGCAGCTGGCCGTTATTCTTGATCGCGCGGACGTTTAAGCACACTTTGTTGCGATAGAGGCACTTGTTGTTGATGAAGTGTTTCGTGTATGAAGTAGTTGACGGCATCACGGCTATGTGATATGAGGGCACTGTGCAAATGCGCAAATGGCCCACACTTGGAGAACTGTAAGAGAACACCAGAAAGTTATACAGATGTGTAAATAACCCCTGATATGTCAGGAACAAGGGTCTACCTACACACAGTATTGTTCTGGAAGGAACCGGTATTTTTATTCACACGTTAACCTTGGTGTTTGTATGCTGTCCATATTCGCCGCGTAATCCTTTGACGAGTATGCCATTCGTGTGATTAGTCAACAAACCAGCTGGCTAATCTTTGACATCGAATTGACCAGTCGAAATATTGTGAGTTCGGTCCAAATCTGCCAATTAATTTTTACTAGTAGGCAAGTAAGTTGACTGTACGTACTGTACACCCCCCCGCTGCTTAGAGAATACTATGAGATGGCAATAATCTACCATGAGGGACGACTTACTAGTTCGACTCGAGATGCCGACTACGTACTTGTCGAGGCACACATGCGAAGGCGGTCTCTGAGGGACGTGTGCTCTTGCGGTCGATCTGTCGAATGTGATCTCAAAAACCTCCCTGACAGTTAATAAAATATTGGGTTTTGCAGGAAGATCGATTTGCGGGGCGGTTTGTCCATTTGGATTCAACGAACCATTCTCGGAAATTTCGAACTGACTGTGAACGCACAATATGTATACACTATTAATAGTGCGTACTAAACATTGTACGAAGATTTACTTACCTTACCGGTAAGGGCGTGTTCAATGACGTCAAATATTCGCATATTTCGGCCAAATGTGGATATTTTAGTGGATATATCCGGATATTTCGAAATTCCATTGACTGTGAACACGTTTTTCTCAATATCCCAGATATTCCGATGCCGAATATCCACCATTATACAGTTTTTACACGACCGGCATCCGGCTTCGTGCACGACGAGCGTCGGGCGCTCCATCGAGAAATTAAGAACCCCTAAATACAAATATCAAGATATTTAAATTTGATGTGATATAAATCGAATTTGCACGACGCACGTCAAGCTGTAAGCTAAGCATTTCTATTGGCTATAATGTGCAAAGCCACAAAGGTGATCAAACTCCATCCAGCCACGACAATTTGGAGGTAGAAATGCCATGTGACTGATGGAACTTGTTTCAGTGACGTGATGTGGTGAAGGTACAGTATATATACCGGTATGTATGTCGTTGAAACGACAGGTCGGTATGGATTTAGTGTTAGTGGTGTGATCTGTAAATACCCTGGGTTTACAGTCCTGTTAGTTTGGCAGAGAGTAAGCTTACATATACTCCAACATCCACAGCGCAGTTTTACGCTAGTAATCTGTCCACCTTGCATTTGACATTGTGAAACCAAACTACTGTATACAAACCACGTCACGGTCGGCTTGCTACGAATTGAGATTTGAATAGACGCACTGCCCAGACCTTAATACAGTTTGGCGAA